TGGTGGTGGAATATCAACAGTACGTGAGCAGCGATCAAAACCCCCCAGGAAGAGTTTAGTTAAACTCGTCAACTCCAATACCTTCGCAGAAGCTGGCACTGCAGTCGCAGAAGCCCCGCGAAAGGTCTCGCGGAACCTTTGTTTACCAGTCGCTTCGCGGAAGACCCGCGGAAGAGCATATATGATATACAATGATTGTGTTCCACCATCATGGGCATAGATTTGCGGCATGGTCCACCAGGTGTAGGGCTTGAGTTTTCGTTGTTCATATCTATCTCGTAAAACCACTGTGATGATCAGCTGCTGCAGTGCTGCTGCTCTCCAGGTTGGCACACCGCCACACAATGATTATACTAACCGTGTGCGATGTTCCTGCCCCAGTTCAAATGGACGTGTAAAAGAACAAAGTGATGAAAAGGCCGTTGCGGAAGCTCCGCGGAAGAAAGGAAGAGAAAGTCAACACAGATGCACCCGCGGAAGATGTGCGGAACCTTTCGTGGAAGAGATTTGACCGCCAAAAATTGAAATACAGTATATCATGTTTTGTAGTATATCGCATGTAACCAAGTTTGTTAGTAAATATATTTGGGCACTGAGGCTCCCAGACAATCCATATCATTCCAAACTTGCGTCAAGTCTAAGGGAGCTAACCAGGCCCTGTTCGAAGGCTTCCCTTTCCAATGTCATGATGACCGTACGAAAGGGAGAGGATGGGCTTCTAAGAAGCCAAACACTTATTTTAAATCGAAGAGAAAACTTATCCAAGAAGGCCTCTGCTTCTAAGAGGCTGCTTCGTGGCAAACTCTTCTAAGAAGCCCATGCAGCTTCTAAGCGCTTCCGGAAAACAAAAAACACGCTGCCATCCCGCGTTCCCACCAGAACGGCGTCCCCGAAAAGATCGGACTCTCAAGTTGCAGTGGTTGCAAAGCAACGATCTTAGTGAACTTCACTATGCTTCACTGCTTGCAGGGATGTCTGTATTCCTAAGGGTTTCTCTTCGGCATTTGTCAGGATGGGAAAGGGTCACCACAGAGAGAAACTAAACAGCTTGCCGAATGGGATGTCCCCAATTCCCATTCCCCAATGGGATGACACCCCACTGAACGACCTGCGATTTTGTGGGTCATCTGAAACAGACACCACTTTTAAAAACGGTAGGCCCATGCTAGGAAAACTCTCTGGCTGTGTTTGTTTGGCAAATATTAACTCTAATTTGAGCGTGCAAACATTGCGAAATGCTTTCGTATATGCATTTCACCATACAGTTTTGGTTTGTCCCAATTCCAAGTAAGGCAATAGCAAGCAAGTGACTTGTCTTCTGTAGATATGAAGATATTTGGGTCACACATGGCTTGTGGTATTCAAGAGTGTATCCTGGTTGAGTCAACCAGACCCTCTCCAGAGTCTTCTCTTTGTTCCGGACCATGGAATGAATGCGCCTACAAGGCGGTGTGTGCAGGATTATTTCCCAAGGGTCTAGCATGCAAAGCGGAAACCTTTTTTTTCCGCAGATGCAAAAGAGAATGTGTTTGCGGATCTTTCTACATGCAACAACATGTGTGCGATAAGGTTTCTTCACTCTTTCCAGATTGTTTCCTGAGGGTGCTTGCTTGTTTGTCTCGGTTGTTCCAAGATTGTCGTGGAACCAAAGATTTCGCCCCAGCGTGACCTATATACGGTGGCGAGATGTTCCTGTCCGGTCCCACGCATTGCGGCATTCTGAAGGAGCTTGAGCTAAGCAAAGCCTAAGATGTTCCATGTCCAGGAAAAGAATTTTCGACCCAAAGCGTCCCCATGTGCTGCACAAGAGGCTCTTGTTCCTTCCTGCTTGTTTTCTTCAAGGTTTTGCTTGCCTGTCCTGTCTGGTGGTAGACAGACGTAGCAGATGGAAATATCTAGCCCGCCTGAATGGCCACAGAAGGAATTTGTTCAATCATTCATTTGGGCATGTTTGGAAATAGGGCACCCCTAAATCCATGGGTTAATCATGTTAATCATCATTTTCCTTTTTAAATATGTTAAATGGCCAGCATGGGGGGTATACATTATTTTCAGATCTCATTTTCAGACACACCCATTCGGGAATGCGTCAAAACTTTAGACCCCAGAGCCCAGAGATGTTCAGAGGTTTCAGTATAAAACACCCCATTCTTCCCCAATAGCTTTGCCCCACACCCATTTTATCCTGAGCCCAAAGACCACGAGCAGATGCTGTTCTGCACAATTTCTGATATGGCGGAAGACCGAGGCTGAACAGTTGAAAACTTGGTAGGTAATCCTCCCACCAGAACTCCTTCTGTTCTTTTCAACAAGTCGGCTAACATGTGGGAACCTTTTACAGCATAGAAGCGGAAAGTTTTGCTTGGTCTCCCAGGGTCGCAGTTGCATTCCAAGACGTCAAATTTATTGAGCTGAGGCCCTGGTGAAAGTTCTTTGTTTGTGACCCTGGAGTGATCACGACCACCCTTGCATATCACAGGCTCCGAAAGGGGTGATTGCCGGCTAGTGTGTCTCCACCTTAGTTTTCTCAAAGTTCTTGGAGCCAAACGCCAAGCCGGCCAAAATCTTGAGAGTGGAAAGGTCATTTTTGATGGCGCATCCACGTGTTTGGTGCATCCTTGGGTTTGAAAGGTTGTCTGGTCTTGAAAGGATCAAGCAGAAGGCCTGTACGAGGATGGGTGGGCTTGGACTTGTCCAATCAAATCCTGTCCAAAGGGTTCCATGCAACAACACTGCAAAAGGCAAAGTCCGGTCTTTTGGAGGAATGAGAAGTGCAGACTAAAATATCAGGGAACGTCAGAGGTGGTTCCAAAAGTTCAGTGAGTTTGAAAGAGAGCTGGCCTGAAAGCCACGTCAGCCACAGGGTAGAAGGAAGTCGGCAACGCGAAAGGATGGCTCTGCTTAGTTGCAGAATACCAAGTTCGTGTTTTCAGTGATGTCCCCCCCAACAATGTAGAATGCTTCTGGTGTCAAACTTGAGGATTGCTGCATGGTTGGAATGTACAGAGGAACATGCACGCTTTGATTTCACAGGCCTTCCGAACCCGATTTCCTTGCAGTTGAGACATGGATGTGTGCTTTCCTTAGGATCGATTGTTGTGACCTTCCAGTCTGCAGATGTGGCCATTTGAACGGTGTAGCAAGCACAGCTTGGAAGCGACCAAGTGGCATAGATTCCAACATGCCGAAGAGGCTTTGCCAGCCATTGTCCTGACTTTTTAGGCTCTTGTGTTTCGAACGTAGTTTTTGTTGCAAAGTGCATCAGTGTCAAAAATCAAACTCTTTGGCAGAATGTTCAATCAGGCCTTAGTTTAGGTCTGCAAGATTGTTTGGCAGTCTTGAAAGGATCAAGCAGAAGGCCTGTACGAGGATGGGTGGGCTTGGACTTGTCCAATCAAATCCTGTCCAAAGGGTTCCATGCAACAACACTGCAAAAGGCAAAGTCCGGTCTTTTGGAGGAATGAGAAGTGCAGACTAAAATATCAGGGAACGTCAGAGGTGGTTCCAAAAGTTCAGTGAGTTTGAAAGAGAGCTGGCCTGAAAGCCACGTCAGCCACAGGGTAGAAGGAAGTCGGCAACGCGAAACGATGGCTCTGCTTAGTTGCAGAATACCAAGTTCGTATTTTCAGTGATGTCCCCCCCAACAATGTAGAATGCTTCTGGTGTCAAACTTGAGGATTGCTGCATGGTTGGAATGTACAGAGGAACATGCACGCTTTGATTTCACAGGCCTTCCGAACCCGATTTCCTTGCAGTTGAGACATGGATGTGTGCTTTCCTTAGGATCGATTGTTGTGACCTTCCAGTCTGCAGATGTGGCCATTTGAACGGTGTAGCAAGCACAGCTTGGAAGCGACCAAGTGGCATAGATTCCAACATGCCGAAGAGGCTTTGCCAGCCATTGTCCTGACTTTTTAGGCTCCTGTGTTTCGAACGTAGTTTTTGTTGCAAAGTGCATCAGTGTCAAAAATCAAACTCTTTGGCAGAATGTTCAATCAGGCCCCGTGATCTTAGTAAGTTGGGAGGAATTGCCTCTGTTCTACTTCAAGGGACACAGTAAGAGAGATGCAGATATGGGCTTCAAAAGGGTGGAGAGTGTGATTTCTCTCGATGCATATCAGGTTTTTCTTCGGGTCAGCAGGCAAATATCGTCAAATATGCTGCCCTATCCCTGAAAATAGGTTTCGTAAATCGACCGTAAGATGCTGCCAGCACTTGATTCAAGCCAGCATTGGTCAAGGGAAGTCTGGGACCACGTGCTCTGGTAATCCCATCCATCGGACTGAAGCCCAGTTCGACAAAGCCCAGTTCTGGGTGCGAGACAGAACTCGTTGGCATTCTGAGTTCCACAGCAACATGTTTTTTTAATAAAGAAATGATGCCAAAGAGCACATCTCAAAGTTCAAAGATTTCAAAGCATGTGGCAACGCCACCTCACTTTGACACCTCACTTTGACACTAGTCTCTGTGAAACCGTGTTCTGAGTGGCTTTTGGAAGAAGCCAGATGTAGGATTTTGGCCCTCAACATCATCGCTCAGGGATCTACGGCTATGCGGAAGAACGGTGTCCAAAACCCAGAGTTTCAGCTTTTTCATGCGTGGAGGACCAAGGAATGTTGACAGGAAGGTTTGACATTCGTCGAAAAGCTTGACAAGCAAACTGCTCGTCACCAGAACAAGAAGAGAATATGAAAGGGCCAAAATCATGGCAAGAATGCTGATTTGAATCCGCCAAGGCCAAGGCGGTTGTCCTTAGTCGTTTTGGCTTCCGTACTGGCCACGGGTCATGGCATCCTTGCATCCACAGCAAAATGGATGCGCTGCAAGCTGCTGGAGCTTGAAATATGTGTGAATCTCGCTGATTTTGCACTTTTTTCCCACCAAAAACTTCTACTGTAAAAGCCGAGGTAAAACTGAAACGTTCAGTGCTTAAATTCCCCCCAGCAGATGGTATTGCTGAGTCTCCTTGGCGAAGTGAGATGCCCTGATGCCCTGGTCAGGCGCAGATTTTCCAGCCGAAGTTGCAGCTTGTTGGGATCCAGTGCGCCTCCAGTGATGGCATGGGTAAATACTGAAGATATCAATGAAATGTTGTGGGTCCTTTAGTCTCTTGATCCCTTTTGCTATCCCAAGTTTGAGCCACACCCGGGGTTGTCATCATGTTCCTTATGATAGATTGATAAATAAAGTGAAATCAAGCCAAAAGTATGATTGCTCATGATCAGAATCCATATCAATCCCTTGTTTTTCGTCGCTTCCCAGATCTTGGCGGATTGTGAGCGGCGGCTCCACTGGTCTCCAGTTTCTCGGCGGATGTGGGGTAATCCCATTGCCACAACGAGGTCAGGCCCTGGTAGGTGATCGATAGCATTCGATAGCTACTACGACAACTTGGTTTATAACTTAACATTGATATACCATGATAATCCATGATATACCATGATATACCATAGTCTCTACATGGCTGACTTGTTCTATGATTTTAAAAATGGATCTCCGGTATATCATTAATGGATGTGAATGGGTTTTTCAATGTGTTTCAAGGAACTTATAACTCGGGGGCCCCACCTTGTACGATTTGGGAAGGGCTTGAATCGGTTTTGCCAACTTTTTCTGGTGGTTCACAATGGCCTCCAGTGTGGATTTAGTTACATATCGATGTCTGGCTGAGGTACCTGGTTTGCTCGAAGAGCTGGCCCTGCTGGAGTGGCACTTCTTGGCCAAAAAAAGTGGTTGCCAAATGTTGCCAAACACTTCTGTGTCGCAGTAGAAAGACTTGGTGGAAGACGATAACTGAGTGATCCGATATACGAGCCGTCCTTGCCTCCAATCTGCAGATCCACCGAAACTTACAGCCCAGAGGACAATTCAAGGACAATCTGGCAGAGTTTGATAGAGTTTGCACAATTTTGCACAATCTTCTGCGTTTATGGGCTCGGGAACGACATGCATCCCATCAACGTTCTAATAAATTAACTTGTAGAGTGATTTTCATTGCGGCTCCAAAGTGGAACCGGGTGTCGTAAACACATTTGGGGGATGATTAGAGATGAAGTTCTCCAATTTTCCCGACCTTTGCTGCTATCCTTCCATGCTGAAAAAACTGACGGCGTCAGGCGAGCTCAGAAAGCTTCAAAGGGGGTGGCAGGGTGTTGACTGTCAGCTTTGTGTCATTGTTTTTGGGTTGGCAATTTCAAGTATGCTGATGTTCAATCATATTTGGGATGATGACCCCAAGGGACCAGTATTTTTGGGGGGATGGGATGGAACCTCGGGGTGGTTGTTGCTTGGCACCATAACCCAAAGCTGCACTGGGATGATCTCCATGCATCCAGGTGCCGCCGCAGAGAGTCCAAGGGCCAGCGACAAGGCCTACAGCTGTTGCAGAATCTTTTTGGGGTGGTTGTCAGTGATGGGTGCTGATGGCAAGTGGCATGTGGCAAGTGGCATGTTTTTTTTAACCTAGCTACAGTTCCCCTCTCTTGAAGACCTGAAGACCTATTGTTTTTTATCGGTGGATTTACACAAAATTGTTTAAATTAATTCTGAAAACCATTCAGTGACTGGTTTACCAGGTTCCTAGGTGCAGATCAATGGTGTGGTCTGAAATGCCGCCTTAGCAGGAGAACCGGGGCAGCTGGCTGGTGGTGTCTTACGTGCCGGCTGTTGGCGAGAAGTCATATGAAATCATCCTCATCTTGGAAATCTCGCGGTTGTTTGATTGATTTTGACAGCTTGAAGGGGATCCAGACAGGTCTCAAACAGAGGATTCTGTCAGCGAGTCCTTTTCCGAGGTTATTTGCTCCAACCCCAACCAGGGCGTATAGCTGAACTGGTAGATATCCATACTTCAGGCCTTCCAGATTGATAGTTGGCAATGGCCCAGGAAGGGCGGATCAAGAAAATTATGTCATCCAACTCCAAATTTTTAATTTTTTTGACGCTTCGGAGCTAGGTTTTTTGTCAGGCTGAAACCCAAGTGCTCATCTGCAGCTTGAGCTCAAGCTGGTTTCAAGCAAACCGCGTTGCGACAGAACACCTGTCTCTTTCCGTGGTCATGCTTGAACCAATGTTCGAGACAATAAGCGGCTGGTTCTCATACGTTGCTGAGTCTGTGCCGTCATCATTGCAAGAGCCAAAGGAGCCCTTGCAGAAAGACACGTTTACAAGAGAGGACATGGAGGGACTGCTGTCCTTCCTGAAGCTTCCGTTGTCCTATGGACACGAAGCGTTTAAGCAGCATTGGCCCCACACGCCACATGAAGCCAACCTGGTCGTCGAAAGACTTCATGACCTGGCACGTGCACTGCTGTTTGGAGCCAGGAAGGATGATGCAATCGTCGCATCTTTCCTGGAGAAGAGGGGCCTAAGCATCCTGTTAGAAGCTCTGCTAGCAGTCGCAACTCCGGAGATGATACGAACACAGGCGTGGCAGTCCCTGAGCGTAATCCTGCTCAACGTGAAGGACAGCTTTTTGAGACATACGGGCACACATTCACACACATGAACAAAATGCAGATCAAATGCCTATTAACATGCAAAGTTGCCCATTGCTTCTCCCATCATGATGTCAAAGTCGTTCATGGTTGGAGCTTGGCGCCAAACCGACATGACCAATTCACATGCCTACATCTACTACATGTTCGATGTTGCTCTAGAATCCTTGGAATGACAGAGACCGCAGGAGGATGCTTTACAAAGGTTGATCCGTGGGCGCGAGTTGGACTTGTTGTGGTCTGGTGAGCCGGATCTTCGCACAGAGGAGCTGGGAAGTTGTGCAAGTTGCGCCCCTTGCGGCGTGAAGCAAGTTTTGTCACAATGGCTCAATCCATCTGACCCACAACAGAGATTGCAAGGAAAGTCTTCTCTCATCTTCTCTCTACTCTATATACACAGTATATTGGCAAACTAAATTTTCTCTTTTTGATTCATCTGTATTTCGGCGTCAGGAGAGTCGGATGAATTTCATCTCTTGTCTCAAGAGTGTCAGCATGCGAATAGAAGTGGGGACGCTCCCATGGCTGATGACCGAAGACAGGGACATCCCGATCCTCCGCATGGCGATGGTCCACACTGCCCATGAGGAGCCCCTGCTCCGCACCCAGGCCCGAAATGCCATGCTGACACTTTTGTCGAAGATCAAGATAGGCGAGGGCCAGCTGTTGCGGACTGCCCTGGAAATGGCAAAGTCCAGGAAGCTCGGTTGAGTTATTGGCAAGTCATGACATTGTACATGACATGTCATGCCTCTGTATTGGACTAGGTGATTAGGAAGGCGTCATGCTGGAGGATTTATGCGTTGTCACGATTGTCGCACTTGAGTTTCTGGTCCATTTGTTTCTTGACAGGAGATGGCACATTGCTCCCTCACACAATTTCATACTTCACTTGTTGAACCATCCATGACGATGTCATTGAGCACATTCAGTTGCATTTTAGATTTTCCAGGTTGCCGACCCCTTTGTGCACTTTACTGTGGCAGAATTGGGCAAACATGGCACAAGCAGCCAAAAACAGGAATGCACCGGCTTTGCAAAAATGGGCATTTCGTGAAGAGGACTGTATTCCTGATACCCCACAAAGGAGTGAGAGATGGGGGGCATGGGACAACGACCTTCTGAAAAGCGAAGAGCAAGGCCTTTGCAAGAGCAGGTTGCGCTGTTTTGTATCCCCAAATCTAATCAAATCTATGTGTACCAAAATGGTGTAAACAGATGTAATTAGTTGGCCTAGACTTTTGTGAAGCAGACCATCAATGCGATCAATCCAACAGTGGCCTACTCCCTGCCAAGGGTGTCGGGTGTCCATGGTCCGGATAGCTCGGATAGCTGCAGGACCTTTGGGACCATTTGGCCGAACTGATCAAGCTTGACATCACAGACATCACACAGATGGTCTGTGGTGTTATTGTTGGAAGTCTGGTCTGGAAATTAGGCTCCTTGACCCCCACAAAGGCTGTGGGAGCGAACCACTGGAACGCTCTCTTTGTGAAGCTTTTCAAAAGATTCAGCAAAAGTTCTCTGGGACGGTATTCTTGGGGAAGATTGGGAAATGAATATGATTACACAAAACATAATATATAATAATATATATACACATACATCAGCGATATGCAATTAATTTCGAGCTACACGTCTGCAGCAGCATTCCGTCAGCCAGATGGAAGAACAAGTAGCAAAGTAATGCAAAGTAAAGAACATGAATTGAACAGGAGAAACTGTATCCGATATCCCAATCAGGCTGGTAAGCAAGACCACAGAAACCAGTCATTGGAGAGGGGACTCTTTCAGTTTGGAGAATGCTGCGCCGGGATGTTGCTTCAATAAATGTTTCTTTATAACTGTAGACTTTGAGTCCACAGAGCCTGTGACTACAAAAGAGTGACCTGTTGTCACCCCAAGAATAGTAATCAATGGATGTTTCCTTTTTCTTTATAGGATGTTTCTTTGTGGATGTGGACTCAGTGTCCCTGATATGATGTTTCTGCAAGGAAAAAAGGTCCAGGACAGGAGATTGACTGCAATTCCATTATAGTCAAGGATATTGATTCCAAAGAGTTTGGGACTCCTGAAACTGGGACGAAGAGCCCTGGGAGCTCATGACTCCTGAGCAAAGCCTTGACAGCACCTGAAAAGGCTCAGTGAAGAAATCAATTGCATCGAAATGGAGAAAGTGTGGGCCCCAGGAAATGCTGCTAATATACGCCTAGCACGGGGCCCGATGGAATTGACCTACCGAAAAAAAGGAGAAAACGACAAACCAAAGGAGAAAAAATAAGAATCAGGCCCCTTATCTCCCGCTTTGGAGCACTGTGGCAGACAAAGGAGAAGCGTAGCTCGCAGGAGTGACCGTGGTCTCCCGGCGGCCCCTGGTAGCTTCAGCTGCCAGGAAAGGGAGTGATGTCACTTGGTAAAAATGTACATGCACTTAAGTCCAGCAAAACGAGACATGTACATTCCAGCTGAAAAAGGGTAAAGCGAAGTTGAAAACGATGTGCAAGACTTCCCCCATAGTCTCGAAAGTGGAGTTGAGAGTGAAAGATCGAGAAAATTTTACATGTATACAACTTGGCTGGAATGGAAATGGAGTGATGCCACTAAGAAAAATGTCCGGGACCCTTCAGTTCAAGACATGTACATTCCACCTACAAATAGGAAAAAGCAAGTTGGAGACGATGTGCAAGACTTCCCCCATAGTCTCGAAACTGGAGTTGATAGTGAAGGATCCAGAAAATTGTAAATCGAGACGATGGCGAAGTAGTAGAACTTGGCTGGAATATAAAAACAGGAGAAAATACAAGGTGACCAAAGCGCTCCGCAAGGTCGCAGAGTAGAACTTCAATGAATGTATCCCTATACTTCTGAACATAGAGCCCCCAGAGACATGCACTTGGAAGATGCTGGAAGGAGAAATGTATATACTTGTACTGGAGATCGATACGTCCATGGCCGGCATGCCAAAGGAAAAGGTGTATCCTCATTGGATGTATCCTTAAAAAACCAGGGGGCCGACGGTGAGGGAAAATGGAGGCTAGCTAAAGCTTGTGCCCGTGCCCTATATAAACATTATATAGATTAATAATTAAATAAGTAAATCATCATATTAAAATATGAATATAGCTTTAAATACAAATGTATCGCTAGGGTGCGTGTTTTTTGAAGACGGTGCCAAAATCACCTTTTGAAGCATGTTTCAAAGATGTCCTCCGTAATTTTCAGTGTTTCGAGCTGTTAACGAAAACCTCAACCACCCGCAGTTTTTTGAAACAACACCAAAATAACCTTAACCTAACCCCAAATAAACCCTAAATTAACCAACCCCAAGTCAACCATAATAAATACCCCAATAGCCCTGACCTTAACGGAACTTTGAATAAGCCCTAAAACAACCCCAAATAGCACAAAAATGAACTAAACACCCTAAATAAACACGAATGAAAATCCAGTAAACCAACCCTAAATAAACCCTAAATCAATTTTTAAAAGATCTTAAACAAACCACAACGTAAGTAAATCCCCATGAAACTTTGGGCGAACGTCCGCCCAGGAGGGATACGGATACATATACAGACACATCATAGACATATACAGATACATATTGTATTGTGTTTTGAGTATACATATTGTACGTGATTTCCGATTGTGTTGCTGCATAAGTGCAGGGTCACTTGAAATTCACGCAAAACCAATCCAGGAACATGGACGAGTTGGACTCAGAGCCGATGATGGCTGTTCCAAGTCCAGGGGCCTTCAGTTTGTCGCCCAAGTCCCACACAGAATCAACGGCCTCGCTGTCGGACCAGTCTTCACTGGAAGAATGTCCAAGTTTTACGGCCTGTGGGCTTGGAACCGCCATGAAGGTTGCCGAGACATTTGCCGAAGATATGGCATCCAGTGACCATTCCGCCGCCATGGCTCTGAGAACTTTGGCAATGTACACGGGAACTCTTCGTCACGCGGGCATTGGCTGTGCAGTCATGCCTTTGGTGGAGTCTTTGGGATTTATCAATGAGTTTGAAGTGTATTGCTTTGCTGGTCTGGAAACACTTAAGCTGTATGGTATGTTTCCCCCTTTGTTGAGTAGCGTTTGATGTTGGCTGCTTGTTGAGTAGCGTCTGATGTTGGCTGTAATTTCTCACCCTACAGGCTTATTTGCAGAACAGGGTACCAAGAATATGTCAGGAACCCACACATGCATGCCACACTGTTCAAATCATTGACAGTTTTCTGGTTTCCTTCCATCCAGAAGAGCTTAGGCTAATGCTTTTGCCTTCACTACCTTCTGGCTCGATCCGTGCCATGGCAGACCTCGATGCGGGCTGCATCACTGAGGCAGGTTCGGAAAGACTTCATAACATGCACGGGAGGTGTCACGACTCAATATGTGTGATAAACTCAGAAATGCCTAGCGGTTCTGAAGCGAACATAGGTAGAAATGCAGGGTTGAACTTGTTTGCCTGACAATGAAGAGGTCTCTCTTGCACGCGTTGGTTTGCAGGTAAGCGGTGAGCAGCTTTTCCAGAACCCTTTTTACATGTCATTGCTACAGTTTCACACAAGACTTGATGCAATCATCTCTTGCAAAAGCCGTGCAACTAATTACACATGCATTCTGCATCAGCAGCTGGAGTGCAAACGGATTCAAACTAGTTTGTACCCCCCACTCTTCACCATTATAGTTGTACTGATATATGTGTTTTCCTGTGTTCCCTTGCCGGGTGGTTCCAAGTGGATCCAGATGGATACCCACCTGCAACCCCCACAGTATCTGTAGCAGGACTTGCTCGCACTGACCGAGCACTTTGTTGCTGGGGCCATGGAGGATTCCAAATTCGTGGCCAAGGACCATGAAGATGGCAAGCCGCCAGAGCGCGAAGAGGTGGAAGCCATGCAGAAAAACCGCATGGAGTACCTCTTTTTTACAAGTCAGTCTCGCTTCCTGCAAATACACTCACTTGGCACATGTAGCATCACTTTATGACTTGACGTCATGTTCACATCCTTTTCGATACGTGTTTTGCATACCAGTATCGATCGCTGTCATTGATTCAGATTGAAGAGTCTCTTAATCGCGCCTGTAGACCGCATTTCAAAATTATGTGAGTTGCTTGCCCAAGGCACTGGCAAGGGATGCTGCATGGTGCACATTCGATGGTGTCAGGGCGAGACACGGTGCCCAATCCTTTTCGGGCCGCAATTCTGGCAAAGATGGGCTTTACCGGTGACGGTATTCCGGTGGCGCAGCTCCCCCTTCGCCACCTAGCAAAATTAAGATTACAAGTTTTTCCCCAGCCTGGTACGTGACGTGTTTGTTACTTGCAGTGTTTCGTTGTGCTGCTGAGAGTAGTCAGGTGCGAACTGCAACACGTTTTCTTTCCAGTCTCTGCTGGATGAGAACACAGCTGCCACCCTTGCGATCATGGAGTTGGAGCGGGCGTACCATGGATCAAAACTGCAAAGGGATTCTGCCACTTGTATATATTGAAGTATATTGGGTTGATCTGGTTAAAATGATTTAAACTACCTCTATATAAGTATGCTGAAGTACCCGAAAAATAGGGTCAAATCATAATCCAGCTATCAGACATACGGACCTGTAGTTGCAGTGCTCAGTTTTACGTTAAGACCTGGATGGTTGATGAACTGGTTGCCGTGTGGGATTCCTGAAACCCTTCTTCACGACGTGTGGTGTCCTAAATCCCAGCACTGAAAACCAGCAATCCCCAACTGCCAAGCAACCGACCTTGATAAGATCTTATATCAGGTGTAGCTGTTTGCGTGTGTGTGTCTCACCAGAGTTAGGGGTGATTGCACTGCCTTGCCTTGCTTACGGTTGTTATCGGTTGTTGACGGTCACGCAGCTCTCTACTGTGATACAAATTTAGATCAATAGGCAGTCTGTCAAATCTTGCTATGAAGATCTATGAAGTATTTGCTTGCAAAAGATGTTGGGCTTGCCTGTGGTTCATTTGTTTTTCACGCAATGATTTCGACTTGTTTTCCAAGGGCTCTCAGTGGGCAAACCTCCAATGAACCGCCCAGGTATCCAGACTTGCTGGAGCACACAAAGCTCCTGGCACCCTCCGCACAAGTGGACCCCATAATCGAAGAAGCCACAGAGTTTGCCGCCGAGACAGTACCTGGCACTTTCGCCGAAGCGTTCGCCTGGTTTCTGAAGGCCATCAGTTGATCGCTTTGGTTCGGAGTTGGTCAGTTGATGTCAGTTGACTTTGAAATTCCATCGTTTCCCACTGGTGTCTTTCCAGGTGGGAGGCAATGGCTGCAGCTTCGTGTCATTGTGAGCGAAGATGCTTCATGTGAGTCCCAAAGTCGGACGAACGCAGAACTTGTGGTGATACATCTCAGATTTGGCAGCTGAGCGCGACCTGAAGGAAATCTTTGACGCAGCGATTCAATTCTGAACATGTCATATATGTCTCAACATCACAAGATGTTGAAGAAATCAGCTGGCTCCAGCCGAATCTACAGATGCTGTAGCCCTGCACAATGAACCAAATCAAAACCAGAGTCACTCGAGTTGGGCCATGCTTGGCCACACTTTCAGATCTTTCAGATATCGTCGATATCATAGCCACCGTGGAAAAAGATGTGCCATGGCGTGCCAATGGGGCGGAACCAGGCAGTGGATGACAGCGGGGTGCTGGAATTCAATTCAGGCACTTGAGATAGTCTGAATGAATCAACGAAGCCAGAATTTAGGTCTTGTGGCAATGCTTTCACTGTGCTGTCTTGATCGTTGTAAAAGTTTCGATGAATTCTGTTCAACATGAGTGATGAAAGGCAAGGGATGTTTCATCACTGTCTCGGAGCTCTAAAGTTGAAATTGCAAGTCAAGATTTAATGTGTTTTTCACTGGAAATTGAAACATTTGACAACATCAATGCACTTTCCATTTAACCCCTTCAAGGCCAAGGTTCCTAAATCTTCTTGCGCGCTTTGCAGCACAGGAGTTCTGAGCACTTCTATCGTTGGAAGCAAGACCCAATCTCCTTCAACACTGTGGTTGTTGCTTGGCTTCATCCAGTACAGGCTGCGAGGTCGCACCAGGATGCACCAGGTAGCCTATGGGCCTATGGTAATCCAACCCGACAAAGGAAATTCCATGAAAACGCCCCGTGTCTCCGCATCTATGGACGGTTTTCCCGTTGAAAACAATATTTTCTCGGCTTGTCATGTTTGACTGTAGGAGGGTAGTGAGCACACCACCAAGGACCTAGAGTTGAAGGTTGGACGATGGCGCTAGGCGAGCTCAGAAAGTTTTCGAAAGGGGTGGCAGGGTGTTGACTGTCAGCTTTATGTCATTGTTTTTGGGTTCGCGGTTTTGAGTGTATTGATTGACTTTCCTTCATGGATGAAACTGTTTATCTTAAGATTATGTGGCAGGGGTTGGCCATCACCTGTACCGAGTGGTCCGCCATTTCCACGGCAATCGCATGCAATCGCAATCTTCGTCTTCCGTACCCTGGGGCGTCAGTAGGTCCAACGGTCCTTGTCCACAGGGATAACATGGGATAACTGGCTTGTGGCAGCCAGGCATTCACAGCTCTTTCTATGATTGAGATGCAGAAGTCTGAAAGTGTCAAAGTGTTGCATTGTTCACCCGCCGACAGGGAACGTGAGCTGGGTTTCGACCATGTGACAACAGGCTAGCTATGGCTAGCTTTACCCTACCTCTCGTACTACTCACTTCGATTAGTCGGCATCGAATTCATCGATACAGGGGTCTTGACTTAAGTCGCGTCTTCGTGTTGAAGTCGCATCTTGATTGGCGCCCACTACACAAAACATCACAAAACACAGTTTTACTATGTTTTACTCAAATCTTGTGATTTGACATTTGTACTAAATCATACGTTATTGTTGTTACCAGCACGCCAGCTCGCTTTTTCTATGGTTGACCTAGTTCCATAGTTTACTTTTTCCCTCGTGTAGTTTTTTTCCCCGATAGCTGGCAAGCAAAAGGTTTAATTGCTGGAGATGTCAAAAGAAAAAGTGCATTTTGACTGCTCGCGCAATGTTTCCTTGATTTCAGCCACTACGATTTGCAAACAATGCTTCTGATGTGACTTTAGCGGCGTGATGTGAGTTGACACCCCAGGGTAAAGCTAACCTGTCTCACGATGGTCATTTCATGTCATTTCTGCATCCATTCGCTCCAAAGGCCCGGCAAACTTTGCAACGGAGGAGCTGCTTGGTGACGGGGCTGCAGATGCTGCAGTGTTGTAGGGTGGGTGATGTCTTTGCTTGAAACGTAGGAAGCCCGAAATCGGTGGTTGATGGTTGATGCTTGCCGTTTGTGGATAGTTTGCCTAACAAATTTTGCTCGAATATTAGGATTGTTGGTACCGAATGTGGGCACTGCTCAAGTGACATGTGTTTGCTTGGATGGTGTCTACTTTGCCGGGCACGGAATGAAGAGCACGTCAAAGTAATCCTGCAACACACGACCTGGGCATCCACATTCGTGCCCTGCAATATTTTGGAGCTTTGGTGCTAGGGTGAGATAGGGGAATTCAATTTTGACCTAAGCCCTAAAATGTCTTCCGTGTATCTATGGTCACGCTTGGCTACTAAGGTACATGGTTTGCTGGAGACAAGTGTTCATGCTGGAAAAGTGAATGGACAGGGTACATCTGCAAGGCACTCCATCTCAGCTGCCGCGATTCGGCCAGCTTGTCAGACATTCCGTTCGCAGTTGCATTCTATGTGGTGACTTCCACTTCGATGATTTGTAAATCATTTTGATATATTTTGATCTACATTTTCCAACTACTTCTATTTGTAGTTTTGTGTTTGATTTTATATGATTTCGTTGCTCGCAGTGCTCGTGTCATGACCTCCCTGGAGATTGGGCTCGCTGCCACGAAGGAAAGTTTTGGGAAAGTGCAGCCGCATGGCTTCCAATTGAAGAAATCGGAGAAATGTGTGAAATAATCATTGACTGGGGTAGGTTCCTTGTTTGTTCCATGTTTGTTATCTGTGCAACATTAAGATCTCCACAGTCGCAGCCATGGCACCCCTTTCAGTGCTGTCCTTACCACGCAGATGATGGCTGAGGCCATCGAATTGACCCCAAGGGCCCAATGACATTCGGATAGGTTTACATAGAACATTGTAACATGCAAGGTAAGGAAGCCAAGAATACGGAACAGCCGTCTCCAGTCCAACAAATATGATCACATATACAATACTAGACAATATGATACAATGTATTTCAACATGCAATTACTACTACAAGATAGTACAAGATAGTACAAGTACAATTACATAAAGTATGCCTTCACCTGAAGCAGAATGTCACCTTCGATTCCAATAGGCAGAAGCAACCTTTATTTCAGGGGTTGTGAGTCATAGAACTGGCAGGTGTCATCTGGCTGGCGTGGTGTGGATGAGGCCATGTGGAATCCGGGGTCCCAAAATTCGCCCCCCGAGCCTTGTCCGCCTGATAAGAATCTAAAAGGAGAATTCGAGATCGGTCACTCTTGGGAGCCTCGTTTTGTATCTTCAGGCACCCAGAGTTTGGGCCGCCAAAAGAGGCTGGGCAGGAGGGGAGACCACATCAACTGCAGCAAACAAGTCCCACAGACTGAAAAATGTAGCTACGAAATGTCGGTTCTTGACTCTTAAAAAGTAGAGTCACAATTTGGTGGTTCATAGAAGTCAATAATCACAGCATATTTTCCAACCTCAAAATAAGGCCAGGGTCGAAACGCTGGTACCCTGTCATCAACATAGCTGGTAGTAATGCCCCTCACTGCAAATCACTGAAAATCAAAAGTGTAGACCCATCTCATAAATCAGAATCTTCACATTTGTGGCCGAGATCCTCTTGATGGTAATATGCAAGTTTCTGACCCATCGTTCCCCGGACCATGCCGGGACATGCCGGGACCATGTTCCCATCGGCTCTGCCAGGTGCTTTCCGAGCTCACCCGTCGCCTGTCGCGCTTGGCGCGCCATGCCCCGTGGCACGCCGCCACCCACGCAGCGCTCAGCGCAGCGCAGCATACCGGGCTGCCGTGCGACACCCGCGCCGAGACAGCAAAGCTTGGTGCTGTGGCTGCTGGAGGAAGGCTGGCCGAGCGGGGGATGTCGTGGGTTGAGAGGTACTCCAATTATGTCGGGGTATATAGGTTCATTGCATTTCATTGCATCATCTGAATCCATGGATGAAAGAGGGGTTGTCTAGTCTAGTCAAGGACAGATGGGCAGAACGACAAGACCACGAAGGTCACTCTTGGGTCTCAGGTGGGCCGCAGCATGGGCATATTTGCGGAGGCCAGCCGCGGGGCTCACTTCATCTCACTTCAAGTTGCCGCTGTGTTCTGTGAATTGTTCCACGTTGTTTCATTGTTATTCTCCAGCCACAAGTTGCAAGTTCATTTTAGATATATGTCACGAATTTTCAGTACATTTCATGACAAGAGCAGTCATGAGCAGGAAGAGTTCATGACCTTTTCAGCATCTGCTGTTTGGTGAGGCAGCTGGGCGGCGGCCTCCAGCCAGATGCTGCCATGCTGAATGTTCTCCTGCATCTCGGCCATGTGCCATGGAGGATTTCATTGCTCTCTTGGGATGAAAAAAAATCGGGCTGCATGCAAATTCATTCTTTAAACCAGAAAGACATGATTTTTGTGGGCACGGCTCTTGCAACAGAGGCAATGGTTTCGTCAACTCGTTTTGGCTTTAAGAAAGTTTTTTGATCACTTTTGTTTCAGTTCCGCAAAGCGTTTCCGATGGTGCCTGTCGTATTGAGATTCACTGCAGAAACGTTGGCCCTGTTTGATGTTGGGTGCGGCTCCAGAGAACGTTGGTTAGCAGTTTTTGAGTCCAGAGAAGATGGTAAGGTCCAGCTCTACAGAGTCCAAGGGTTGGCGTCAAGGCCTTCAGCTGCTGCAGAATCTTGGTGCTGTGACAAGTGAATATTGGTAAGCGCTTGCAACAATTTTCCAGGAGATGCCTAGAAAACTTATTAACAGTTGGGGAAGCAAAGATCTTTTGTCAGATTGGAGATGGCGGATTGACCGCCTAATTCACACTGATACGAAAGAAAGAAGCACTGGAAGAAGGTCTTCTTTGCTCCTTGTCAACAAGTTGGTTGTTCAAAAGTGTTCAATGGAAAATGCCAGTCACTAGTTCTAGGCTTTCTAGGCATCCTTCCAGATGGCCAGCACCTGATTCTCTTGGCGCACCGGTCTTTGTAATGAGGATCTTCCTTGAGAAAAGCATCGGACTTACAGCCCGCACCGTTGCTTGTCTGCATGATTCTGGTCATGGCGGTTGCAGCTTTGTTGGATAAGCCAGATTACTGACCAGTCCGAGGCCATGAAAGTAATTCCGCTGGTCTCCTGGCCAACTGCCAGAGAACTTCTCATTCAGATGAGACGTCAGGCGAGGTTGTCTTTTTCAAGCTCCCGTGCCTGAGCAGCCACCAGAGCGGCTCACCTACAGTAGAGGGCCTAGCTGCTTTGAGTACTGTATTCTTTCTGTTTATCCGAGGATTCACGCAAAGTTGTTTCAAACATCAGCACGATCAATATCCGCCAGTGATTTACCGGGTAACTTCCTCGTCAGTTCCTTCACTGCCATGATTTGCCATGCATTCTGTTCGCCAGGTGGAAATGAACGTTGTGGTTTGCAATGCTGCCTTAGCAGCAGGAGATCATGGCCTTGTGGTTGTGTCCCGTGTCCGTTTGCTGAGAAGTCATGTTGAACTTTCTGAAAATCTCAGAAAAATCACGCCTGTTCGATTGATTTTGGCATGTTGATTCAGCTGGCTCCAGCCGAATCTACAGATGCACAATGAACCACACAACCAGCAGAATGATCACTGAAGTTGCTATGGCCATGACTTCACATATCGCAGCCATAGTGGGAAAAGGTGTGTCACTACGCGGTTTCACCATGTCTCAGGACCATTGTCATGATTCGAAACTTTCACTATCAAACCATATCAAACCATATCAAACCATATCAAACCATATCAATCCATCAAACGCCTTCAAACGCGTTCAAACGCGTTCAAGGTCCATGGACCTTGGCGGTCAAGGTTCCGGAATCCTTTTGTCACAGGAGTTCTGGATTTGAAGCACTTCGACCACTGGAAAGTGGAGCCAGATCTGATTTCCTTGAACACAGCCTCTGCTACCTGGCTTGATGACAGGCTGCAAGTTCAATCAAACCGGTAATCTAACCAGGCTTGCAAAAGAAAGTTGATTTCCGATTAAAACCAGATTGTACGCGTGGGTATTCTTAGTAACATATCTTAGAAGTCCCCATTAAATTTGGATGAAATGGTTCAAATTTCCGAGTCACATTGAATGGTTATCCGAGAATCTTTCGAATTTCCAAGATAATCCAGAGGTTGGTAAATCAACCAACAAAAAAGGGAAGATCTTCTCCAACAGATACCCTTGCAAGAAAGTGATGTCGTTCGCCACAAGTCTCCAAAATGCTATTTATATTGTGTGTATATATATAATTAGATGTATATACACACTATTTTACCATATTTATTTATTGTTAATTACTGTACACTATTTTACTACCCTGAATGATTTTTGGTTTATGATTTCCATCAACCATAGGTGATATTTACCATAAACCAATTTGGATCCTAAGGACCTCCTGGTGAAGGCTGGTCGATGGCAACAGGCCCCTGCTGAGCCGCTCACCGGGCGATGCTGTGGGTGGATATTGAACTCCTGAAAATCTTGATTTACTTAGGATTTACTTAGGATATCTTAGGATTTATATGGAGTGATTCCATTTGGGCACCCTTTTTTGGGTGTTTTAAGCTGTGTTAAGCATGGAAGTATTGCAGCATCATCCGAGAGCTCCCAGGTGAGCCAAAACACTCGTTTGAGCTGGCTGAAGATCCCTTGTGTTTATCCCAAGAACACCATCAACAGGATCGATTCTTCATTTCAAGGTTAACTATAGTTTATTCTTAATAAAGTGTAACTGTATGTGCTTAGGATTCGTTAGGGGGCTAATACACCAACTCATAGGGTTTCGCCAGGCCCAGCAAGCTTTGCAGAGCTTGGAGGACCTCTTGTCACAGGCTGCATTAAGGTTGATAGGATGGTGACTTCATGGTTTGATGGTGATATGATGGTGATATGCTGAGTTTCTTTAGATGAAACAATACTTTGTCACTTCCACGGGAACTACTTCGCTGGGTAGAGGAGAAACACCTTTTCGTATTGATGCTCCACAGGACGTCGGTATCGAGCGTGACACCCTCTCTTTGAACATCCAGGTGCGCAGACTGCCAGGTGGACCTGAAACATCAAATTCTGCAGCTTCGCAACAGATTCAAGTTACAGTTTTTTTGGTACGGGGGAGCATTGAGCAGCTGCGCGGTTGAAGAAGATTTGACAACAGTCACCATACCATGTTTCCCCAATTTACATGGAGAGTCCGCCAGAGATATAAGAATGGACATGAATGGAAAACCAGCCATACACCCAGGGTTCTTCCCATGACCTCTCCCACACCTGCGGCCAGCTATCTGCTTGTCCCTGGCGCGCAGCTGCAGCAATCGCAGCAATCGCAGCACAAGGCAGGCATGGGTATTTGGATGTATTTGGAACTTGTGCTGGTTGGCTGGGTGTACAGCGCAAGACTGCAAGATTGTCTTGGATGTAGATGTTATCTATATATGCAAAGATACTCACGGACACACATATATAATATATACACCCATACATACGTATACAGAGTAACTTTATGCGTGTCGTCTGGAGGTTGTCAAATTGGTTGTTTGCCCATATACTCTGGGTCGGACTTGAATTCTGCCAACCTGAGCAGACTTGAATTCTATCAATTTTCCATCCTTGAGTTCAGGGAATCTAATCTATCACACTTTGCCCCGAAAACTGGCTATTGACATCTATTGACTTGGTAAACAAACTATAACACGATTAGATTGTCTAGATTTGTTTGTCATTATCATTGATGTATGGTTTTTTGATTTCTCAATCCTTTGTTTTTTACGGTTGAAACGTTTTTCTACCTCCCTGGTGAAACCTGCAGGAACTGGACTCCAGCTGGACCTTGTGTCTTTTTCATCCACCATGGCGGTAACCCGACAAAAGTTCTGTGGTCGGGATCCGGTGCACCACATGGCTGACCCCAAATTGCTGGTTTCAAACATGGCTGGTATTTTTTTGCATTTCATATATGGGATGTCATCCTTCCCATTGACTTTCATATGTTTCAAGATGGTTAAAACCACCAACCAGATAATGTTAGACCCAATTCTAGAGTATCATTTGATGATAATTATCAATTATCAACGGTTCATTTCATAGAACATGTAGTTAAACTTGGTAATGCCCATTATTCTTTTGTCAAGACGCACAATTCTCAACACCTTTTGAGTAAATAATCCTTTCAAGACATGGTGACATGGCGGTATTGGAAAATCCAAGGCCACTCATCTCAACCATCAAGCGGGATATTCCCGGCAATCATCCCCAGGCTTGTGAGCGTTTCAGCGCTTGGTTGCCGGCGCTGCAGATTTTCCAGGATCAAAGGTTGGACCAGAAAATTCATCATATTCCAATTGCTATAATAGGAACATAAATATTTATGCATGGGGTACATGGGGTACCTAGCCCATTGTTTGACCCATACGCACCGGATCGGGAAGTCGCAAAAATTGTCAATCTTTTTGAGATATGCCCCCCCCCCCCGCGCTGCAGCCATTGGAGGCATCATGACATTGCCCCAGACCTGATTGCCTACAATTCTGTCACCAGCGCTTGCTGCAAAGGCGAAAGCGGCTTGACAATATACAAAAAAGCAGGGTGGATGGGCGAAATCTGATAGCTACACACTTAGAAAGACTTATATAGTTTTCACCTAGATCACGTAGATGGTGTGCGAAATGAAGAGGCGTCAGGTTGATATCATTTGCGGGTCCGTTAAGTAGAGCTGAGGGAAAATGATTGGCAAGTTGTGATACAAAACCAACTGCATGCGGCTCTCTGTCCTTTTGGCTGGTCTTGATGAGCAGTTGTGATGATCAGTCAAGCAGTCTGCGGATGAAATTCACTTCATCTAGTTGAATCGTGTTGAATCCATCATCCATTTTCACTATCCATTTATTTGAGAGATCATCTATGCATAGATGATCACCTCATTGTGTGAAATCGTGACAAGTCCATACTGCTGTTGTACACCGACAACACAGAACCCTAATGTCCGTGATGTTCTGAGGTTGGAGCTCTGGATTGCACTTCTTTTCTGACATCTTGATACTTGGAGAAGCTGCGTGTAGATAATCGGAAACATTTTTTCTGGGAAACAGATAATGTATTTAAATGTATTTAATACACTTGAAGTATCTTGAAGTCATGGTTGCTGTATTAGGTGGTTTTGTCTGGTCAAGTGCAATCATGTTCACCAGTCAATTCTGGGGCTCAATCTGCCTCCAAGTGTGGCTCAGCACCAGGACGGCTGAAAATAGTTCTGTGGAAGTTGCTGGAACTGCAGTGTTGGCGGCTTGCAAGAGGAACGAGGAGCTGTGGCAAAGCTTTGATGTGGACCAGTGACTTGTCGCACAAAAAAGTCCAGATGCTGAAATCAGATTCACTTCGATCAATCACATTTTTTTGCAATTCTTGATCGCTGAATCGAGTTGAATCATGTTGAATCAGATTTTTGGAAAACTCTCTGAATGGATCTTCTTGGTGCCACGACAGGAGTGGCCCTGGTGTTTGGAGCTTTTGCAAATGCTCCATTTGCGACGTGCAGCCGATGTGGCTGCCTTCACAGCGACTATCCTGGCCTGTGGAAAGGCCATTGGCTTGACACAGCGATTTGGAAACCACAAAAATCCCATGGTGAACAGTCAAACCCATTGGATCCATGGGTTTTCATGTTCCCAATTTGATATGTCCCAGCTCTTTTTTGAGCAGCAAAAAACAGAAGATGATCCTTTTGGAGTAGACACGCCCAATTCTTTCAACGCGCAGGAAGTCACAGGAGAAGGGGAAGCCCAGAAGAGCACATCTTTTGTATATAATGGTATATCCAATATAATGGTACGTATATAGCATGGTATATATCGTGGTATATCTAATCTTTTATTCCCCCCAACGCAGGCCAGCCCGGCCATCCGCGTTGCCGTGACAGGGGTCGAGAACTTCAGAGTGCCAAATGCTTTTAGATCAGCTGACAGAGATGGCTCCTCCACCATTGGCTGCTGTGAATGTTCAGATGATGCTACACCAGGCCACGTTGGAAATCATTTGGCTGTGTAAATGGGGAAGATCAGGATTTTCCAGTCAATTTTGGGTATACCGTATACCCAATTTTTTCGTACAAACGATTTTTTTCCTGGTGGTGTTTGACTAGTTACCCAGGGCATCCCGGTCCCAGTGGTTGCCTGGAGACTTTGTGCGTTGACGCGTTGGGTTTTTGACCGAAGTTGTGGCTGTTTGTTTGAACAGTAGAAAATACATGAGTGCGGTTCAATCCTATGCAAAGCAAAACCACGCATATCATGATAAAGATGCTGAACTGGCAATGCTGAACTGAGATAACTGAGGGAATCAAAGTAGTGATTGAAATTAGCGCGTGTTTGACCATGTCTAGTCGTTCTAGTCTTTGTTGCTGTTCTTTGAGCATTAGCTCACCCCCTACATGTAGCATTTCATTGCACGTCTGCTACGCGTATGGTCATTGGAATGACTCCAAACACTTCAATGCTCAACATTCCACTTCAACATACTGCATCCAGATCGATTCCGAAAAAAAAAACAACAATTTGGCTGACAACCTATGCATTCCCATGGCGGGAACGGCTCAACAATGGGGCAACAAATGATGCGAGCAGCTCCCGGGTCCTGCGAGGTACAAACACCAGTTGTGTAACTAACCATAGATATATCTACTATATAAAATGTCATAGGAATGATGTCTAGTAATACTATAAATATCTATAAATGGGCAAATCTATGTTGGATTATCCATAAATCGAGTTCATCATGGAATTCACCTAGTATTACTAGTATTGTGTATCAACTTAGCACCGGGCCAAGGTCGCTGGACGATGGCGCGATGCCTTGCAGCTCTTGGTCTCCTGTGCCCAGCGTGCCTTGCGCTGCGACGAGGCGACGATGCTGGGAGTCACTACGGCTGCAGGCCGAGGCCGCCGATGGCGAAGGGCTGTGCTGGTCATGAAAACCTTGGAACACCGCGAGATGAAACCTGCCACCTGGCGAACAGAAGTTCTGTTTCAGTGACGCAAGATCTCAATGATCTCAGATTTTCCGAATCGCGACACTCATCACTTTCGATTTTTGCGAAACTAGGAGTTTGTGAGAAGGCTATTCCACGCTATTCCCCAACTTACTGGGCAGACATGTCGGCTATGATGGAAGCCCCGAGGATGTCGCTGTGTGTTCCACTCTGATCACGGCAGCCTCAGAGCAGCTCAACCAAGCTTCTACCACCTCCTGGCCCGTATCCGAACTGCTACATGAGATTCAAAGAAGATCTCTTGCTGATATACGAAATCAAAAAAAAATACACATCTATTAATATATATATATAACAACAAAAATATATAAAAGAATTATTCTCTAGAATATTTAATTATATATTTATATAATATTATATAGAAAATATTAGAAAATGTATTATTGCATAACGAAAAAAAATATTATTTATGATTGTTGGTAATTGGTAATTTTTATTTATGATAGGTGGTTGATATTTCATCTTGTGAGGATATATTGTGTTTTGATAGGAATATATATTTTTTGGATTTGGTTTTTTTTGGATTTGTATATATTTTTTGGATTTAATTGTTTTTTTTTT